AATGCCGCGATAGGTGTCGTATTCCTATAGGTAGATGTGATCAGCTGAGAATCAGAAGCTTGACTCACGTGACCTGCCAGAACTAACGCTAACGCTTAATAAATAAAAGCAAATGAATTGAACTCAAATGAATGCAAAGATAAAGGGTGAGGGAAAATGTACCAGCCCATCTGCAATAGGTTTCAGTGTTTTTACAGATATGTCATCTTCACTTTACCCCAAATATGGGTCTCCATCGACCACAGCCCAGTTCACAGAGGTCCTGGTCAATGCAGGTGAGTGTTCAGCACAAAAGACCAATCATTTATTTTAGGGCTGCACAATTAATAGAATTTCTAATCATGATTACAATTATGGATGCCACAATTTCGTAATCGTTCAAAGCGGCAATTAATCGTTCAAAGTCCACTTATGTTATTCTGTGTGCTTAAGATTTACAATTATGGATGCCACAATTACGTAATCGTTCAAAGCGGCAATTAATCGTTCAAAATCCACTTATGTTATTCTGCACGCTTAAGATATGTTTTTTTCTTTCTACATGTTATCTTAAGGGTTTTTCCATTGTTTTAATTTTAGTTTTAGTATAACATTATAATACCATTTTTTACTTTTTTTTCTAATTTAAAGAAGAAACCAATCCGATGTATATTTGACATTTGAGGCTTAATACTATAGAAAAGCACTAAAGGTTTTCAGTTAGAGTGTTTTCAGCTTGTTAATTTTCATATAAAAATACGGCATGCAGTTGCATCAAACAATGGTATAAACATCATTCAATGTAAATTGTGATAATCGTAATTAATAATCGCAATTACAATTTCGAGGGAATAATGACAATTATGATTTTTGTCATAATCGTGCAGCCCTAATTTCTGTTTTTATGCACGTTTTGAGATTCGCACCGAACACTAGAGTGTGAAATATGTTGAATGAATTGTTATACAAACTCATTTCGAGAGCATTAGTGTGTTTCCTTGCTTAAACATTAGATGGCATACTAGCTTCTAACCAGCAACATTACCTGTCACTATCTGGAGGAATAATTAAACCTTATTGAGAACACATAGCTCCAGACTTACTGTCCAAATGTTTATTTGTTACTAGAATACTTACAAACCTCTAAACAAACATCACAATCTGAAACCAAACCTCTTTCACTCCAATTCAGCACAAACATGGGGTTCATCTGTATTACATACACCCACAGTCCTCTTGTTAGTGTGTTAATGTCAAGCGTCTAATATGAAGGTCAGCACTGCTGCAGCAGTCTGAGACCGAATAAGCTGACTGGTATACTCTAAGAACGGTAGGGAAGAAGATGAGACATTAGGAGGTGTTAGCACTGGAAATTTAGGCATTTTGTGAACATACTCATAGATCTCCGATATATATGTGTGTGTGTGTGTGGGTGTGTGTCAGTAAGCAGCGCATTAATATAGAACGGTAATTAAAGGCTCTAATGCACACCAGTATAGGTGTGTGTATTGTAGGAGCTAGACGACGTATGATGCCGTGTGACGGCATAGCAGTGGTGTCCCAATTCTTAGGGGAATATTTTCACCCCTACCCCTTGACACTCTGTTTCAAGGGACAAGGGGAAGGGGTAGGCGGAGGGGAAGGGGAAGGGGTATAAAATAGAATTGGGATTGGGCCTAAGAATCAGTGTTGGGGTAATGCATTACAAGTTATGTAATCAGATTACTTTTTTCATGTAACTAGTAAAGTTACTAGCTTTTGAAACACTGAACACCACAAAAGGGCACATAAGAAGCCAAACCAATTTTTTTAGGTTTTCATCATTCACTTTTTTTCTTTCTTTTTTCTGCACCAGGTATAACAGGTATGTTTATTGAATGAGTTGCAGGATGTAATGGCTGGAACGGTGAGTAGAAACACGTTGAATAGTTCTTGGGTTCTTATCTGAGGTGACTGGTGTTGTGTCTTTTGCAGGTTGATCAGGATTCGTGCAGGAGTCGAGGAGAACAGGATCGGAAGAGTGCTGGAGCATCTGAGGGTAAGTACAGACAGGTTAGTAGCATGAGAGAGTCAGGTAAGTGAACTGTAGACCGGACGATGAGAGACTGAGTGCAAAGAGGCCTTGATTACAGAGTGCAGGTGCAGGTGATCAATAATCAGGTGACTGGGATCTGGTGTGTGTCGGGGCTGGTGACTGTGGTGATTGTAATCCCTGACATCATAATTTTTTAGGTTTTCATCATGAACTTTTTTTTCTTTCATCTCCAATGGCAGTTTACAACCCACAGCCCACCGTCATGCTGCCCACAGTAACTCAGACGTTCCAGTCTGCTGCACCTGCCCCGGGTGAGCAGAAAAACCCTAGTTCAATGACACTCTGCTTCAGTCTGCATTCAAACACTAGAAGGTTTCAGCATATACATGATGCATCTGTACAGAATAGTACATTAGAGGTTTATGATCGTAATATATGTGTCTCTTCATGTAACTGCAGTGGTAGTTGTGCCACCACGGCTGACTGACGTCCTGGGGCAGATGAAATGTCCTCACTGTCAGCTACAGGTCATCACAGAGACAACATTCGTCAATGGCCAGATGGTGTGGGCCATCTCTGCAGGGCTTGCCCTTTTAATGTAAGGAACTGCATTCTCACATATAGACTTTTGACTATCTGGTCCACTTTGCAAGAACTGCCCACTTAGAGAAGGGACCGGCTGACTGACATATACTGAAACTTGTATGTGATATATTTAAATATATTTGTATTTACACATTTATAATGAAGCTGTGATTTAGTACATTTAAATGTAATATCAAATTACACACTACAGTTAAAATGAATATCAAATAATTTACATGTGCTTTAGTATGTTCCCAGCTAACAAGGAATATTTTTAGAACTTTTGGTAACATTCTGGGAAAGGTATGAACTAAAATCTTCCAGCAATCTTAATAGAACATTCTTTCAGAGTTATCTGGTCTTTAATATCGATCTCAAAACTATTTGTACAAAATTATAAAATGTTTCCTAAATGTTCAAATAATTAACTGGAAG